CTTTTTGCGAGCTCCAGTGTACCGCTATGACACCCTCAACTGTTTTGGGGTGACACAGTGGGTCTTCAGTTCCCCCTTGGAGTCTCGGGTTCCTCCAAGTCCACACATAGCCCCCACAGAGGGCATGTACTGTGTGGGGAGTCCCGGTCCCACTGTGCCCCTCTCACGTGGGGACATCTGGGGACATCTGCTCTGCGGGTGACATCTCGTCCTACCCCCCCCCACCTGAAATTCGGTGTTCCCGCAGTGCCTCATTCTGCTCTTCCGACCCCATCTGAGGATGGAGAGCCCCCTGAAATCCCACCAGGGTTCATAGAGCAGTGAGGACAAGCCAGGGTACAATGGGGACAGATGTTGGCACCTCTGTACCAGCCCTTGGTGCCAGCACGTGCAGCTAGTTTGGGGCCAAGCAGGGCCCAGAGGGGTCTGCTTCCATCATGGGTCCATAATCTGAACATTTCTGCTGTCAAAAATAACCTATGCCAGCAAAACCCAGTCCTTAGAAGCTGCAGGACTCCTGAATGGGATGGCACAGCATGGCATGGAACGGTGTGGCACTACGACCATGTCCTCCCCCACCCCTCCCCCAGTGTGTGGTTTGCATTTCTTTTTCTTTTTTTTTCCTTCTCTCTCTCTCTCTCTCTCTTTTTTTTTTTTTTTCCTTCCTCACTATCTATTTTTTTTTCTCCTTCTTTTTTAAAGGGTTTTTAATTAACTTCCTGTTTCAATGGTGGGATAATGAGTTTTAAGCAGCACATGATTCCAGTAAAGAGGTCAAGCCGGCAGTGAGGATGTCAAAAGAAATTAAGTTAGGAATTAAGAAGATTTCCAGGGGAAAAAATGGAACCATTGAGGGCGGAGATGCTCCCTGCCCTGCTCTCCATCCGGCCCCTAAACGTCCCACACCGTTTTTCACCTCATTTGGCCCCGGACTGCAGTTTCCTGGAGACCATCAAAGTGCTGGACACGTGGCTGTGTCCAGTGCCCTTTAATTCTTTGCCACAGCTCATGTATGTCTGTGTAGGGCCCCGAGGGCTGCCTGCCCCCTGCCCTATGGGGTTGGCACTGAATGGGGCTGGGAGGCCACTTGTCGGGGTCCATGTGGTATTTTGGGATCAGGGTGATGGGGACACTGATGGCACATATCCACAGCATCTTCCATCCTCCGTGGGAGACAGCTAGAAGCCTTGAATTAAACACAACACAAATGCATGTGCGGATCCGGGGAGGCTGTAGGGCAAATCTTCTCCCCTGGCATGCCATCCTGGCTGGGAGACACTGACTTCTCCTGGCTCTTTGTACTATGGCTATCAGCACTGTGCCCCACAGAGCTCCCTGGGGACAGACCTCTCTGCATGAGTGCCCTGAACCCCTCCCAGGCTGTGTGGATGCACCTCACCCTGCAAGAATCCCCCAAACCTGGAAGGAGCACACAGCACTGAGGGGGTTGGGCGGGGGGGGGGGGGGGGGGGGAACGAGTTGCAGTTCTTCTCTTTGCGCATTCCTTGCCAGTGTCCTTTTAATTAGCTTTTTGGCCCCCACCCAACCCCTATAAGACCCCCCCCCCCCAGGCCTCAGAATTTGCAGTTGCTTCAGATCAGATCTTTTGGCACAGGAGCATCCCCCATCATGCTGCGTGTCCCACCCCATTGCATCGGGTGTCCCTGCGTGGGGACACCTCCTCGTGGGTGTGGGTGACAGCAGCTGCACCTCCTCTTGGATTTTTTTTTTCTCCCCCTCCATCCCGTTGTGTTTGCTGAGCGATTGTTACAGGGTAACAGAATAAATAGCGTGTTTTCCCGAGGAGTGAATTACATGCCTGCAGAGCAGAGATAATGCACAAGCAGCCGTTTCCCCCATTGTGAGCGAGGTGACATCTTTTTATGGAGCTGTGTACATTTGTATTAGTGCCAATTAATCTGGGGTGATATTATTAGAGAGGATGTGTCGGCAGAGGAATGTAAATGGAAAAAGCTTGGGCGCTGCCTTGGCCGTATTTTTCATGGGTGACCAGGCTGGCTGCACCCAAGAGGTGCTGGGTGCCCATGGGGACCACAGCTGTGCCAGTCAGTGGCACAGAGAGGCTCTGATGGGGCTGTAGGAATGGAATGGCTGCAAAAGTCTGGTGGGTTTGTTGTTTTTTTTTTTTTTTGGTGTCTTTTGGTCTGAAAAGGGTGGAATTGCATCCAGGATGCCCTGCAGTGCTGGGTGCTGGGCTGGCCCTGCCACCTACCGGTGCTCACAGCCCTCCCCAGTGCCACCTGTCACCTCTGTGCTGAGCTGGGGTGGCCTGGGCTTCAAAGGCATGGTGCAGATTGCTCCTAGGTGATGGGCAATATACAGTCTCCCACCCCATGCACCAAATTCAATGGATTTGGGATCAGACCGTATGGGTCCCTTCCAACTTGGGATGTTCTGTGATTCTGTGATTTCTTGGTGTATTTTCTTTCTTCTTTTTCCTATCCTGCTGTCTGCTTTGGGGATGATGCTACAGCACTGAAATGGACTGATAGCCCCACCCCTGGGGTTGTGGCAGGATCCCCATCCCTCCACCCCCCTCTGAACACCCACCCCAGCCTGGGGTTTCCCTCTCCCTTTCCATGCTGGTCCTTAAATCTGCCCTCAATGGAGCATCATGTCCCCATCCTGCTTGCATTCAGATGTGCAGCTTGCACACCTGAGGCTGCGGGTGCATGAGGTCCCTGGCAAGGAGAGGGTATGTGAGAGAGGATTTAAATTACTGCTGTGCAAGGAACAGCCAGATTTGACTCAAGCAACAAAAATATCTCTAGTCGTGCCAGCAGTGTGACAACCATGGTGGATCCTGTTATCCACCAGGCGTAGTGGTGAGGCTTAAAGGACCTGCAGTGCAGGAACTTGGTTGTGTGGCTTCAGGAAAGGCAGCTGGATCTGGGGACTCTGAGAGCAAACAGCAGCTAGAAGAAAGAAAATGTGTGCTGGGAGCAAGAAGGCAGGAAATATCCAAATGTGATGGGAACCTTGGTTTCAGACTGGGGCTGGTGGCAGGGCTGTGCACATTGCTGCAGAATGCCATGCAGCATCCCAGAGGTACATTGCTGTGGTAGCAAGGAGCATCTCATGCCATGCCATCCCATGCTGGGCCATGCCATGCCTTCCCATCCCAACCCATCACTTCCTTTGTTGCTGGAATAGTGCTGTCAGAGGCCTTTGCAATCAGTCCAACGTGCCAGCAATGCATGGATAATGCAGCACTCAGCAGACTACAGGGCTTGGGAGCTGATGGACGGGAGGGGGATTTTCTTCTGCTGTCCCTCAGGAGGGATGAAAGGAAGAATTCAGTGCTCCAGTGGTGTCAGAAGGAGCATGAAGTGCTGCAGGGAGGATGTTTGGGGCTCCGGCAGCGTTTGGGGGAGCAGTGCATGCAGGAATAAAGTCAGAGCAGCTCTTGCACAACATCCCTGCATTTGCCTGCAGCAAACCTGTTGTTCTCAGGGGGATTTTGCCATGGTGTGAAGCTGGAGGTGCGGGAGAGCTGCAGCAGCAAAGCGGAGTGAAGTACTCCTCTCCCCGGTAGGGCTGCAGCCCAGGTGAAATATAGGAGTGAGAAAATATAAAAGTTCCATTTCCAACTCCATAATATTTCCTGCCAAAACAAAGTAAAATGTGCCGCTTTAAATTTTCTGCAAAATTCTTTTGAGGTTATTTTTTCCCCTAAATTAAGCCATACTAATTATTTTCTGCCTCTTTATCTCCACTCTGCAACACACCAGGAGGGTGCGGGCGGTGAGCATTTTAAGCCTCCATAAACAAAAGAGTAGTTTGGAAAATAATTCTATCAATTAATCAAATTAATCCTGCAGTTTTAGTTACAAGCCCCAAGTGGCAAGGATTCCAGCCCGCGGTTATGAGCTATCTCTCATTGACAGCGTTTAAATGTTATGATTGCAACAGTAATTAAAGAACGTAATACGCCCGGCTTTGTGTCAGCCTCCCACCTCCAGACCTCAGTGCTGCGCAGCAGAGGTCGTCTTGAGGACAATTTGGGGATGAACAAATGGGGCAGCTTTCCCCACCTGGTCCCGATCCCTGCAGTACTGTGTCACTGCCAATGGGTGAGTGGAGTCCCTGTCCCTCGAGGCGTTCCAGAGCTGTGGAGATGTGGCACGTGGGGACGTGGTGTGTGGGCATGGTGGGATGGGGTGGCATGGGGGTTGGACTTGGTGAGCGTAGAGCTCTTCTCCATCCTTAATGACTCAATGTTTGGACTTGGTGAGCATAGAGCTCTTCTCCATCCTTAATGACTCTATGGTTGGACTTGGTGAGCATAGAGCTCTTCTCCATCCTTAATGACTCAATGGTTGGACTTGGTAATTGTAGAGCTCTTCTCCATCCTTAATGACTCAATGGTTGGACTTGGTGATTGTAGAGCTCTTCTCCAACCTTAATGACTCTATGCCTTCTATGAAAGGCAAAGGGAATATGGAAAATTCTGGAGGTGTCCTGCAGATGCCACTTGGATGTCCCCATGGTGGGGATGCTGGGGATGGGCACTGGAGTTCACATCCATCGCTCAGCCAAGAGCATTAAAGATATGGCAAAGCTGATCACTTTCTAATGGAGTCCATAGCAAGTGGGTGGGGTTTGGGGAGTAGCTTTGGAAAATGGGCATCAGAAAATGAGAATGAATTTCTGCTGGGGCAAAATAAATGCTTACACTGAGCATGCGTCTGCAGAAGTGCTGCAAAATGCAAAATGCAGCCAAGCGTCCTGCTGCAGATGTGTTGGAAGATGCAGGAGCTGCACGCCTGTGGGGGCACCGAGTCCTGCAGCAGCTGCTTTGCATGAGGCAACACCAAAGCATGCAGAACATCAGCCTCTGAAACTGACTGTGTTGTGGTTGGGCTAGGAATGGGGCTGAGAGTGGGGCAGGCACAGCTGGGGAGAAAGAGCCCACAAATGTCACACAGACAGGGAATTTCTGTGAAAATATTGGAATATATTTGAAAAGATTAATCACGTATGATTTTACAGTACCACCCCATATTTTCATCTCATAGTTTATTTAACAATATTAAAGAGGCACTTTAAAAGCACACATACAACATCATAAAACGGCGTTTCCTGCTCTCTCTCTGCTTCTCTGACAAAATATCAAAATAAAAACTTTTGACATAACACATTGCACCCAAGGTAAATTACCTACAATATTTTTATACAATACAAAGAATTGTAAAGATACATATTAACAGAATAAAGCCTCTTTTTTTCTTTTTCTTTTTCTTTTTTTTTTCTTTTTAAATCTGAAACAAAAACAAAACAAAACAAAATTGCAGGACAGACGCAAAGTACTCTGACTGTTCATATCACATCAGTGCATTACTTCACCTCCTTGACTTGGGAGTGTTTCAATAGTATTTAGTTATCTTCCATGTCCTCGTGTGCACCTGAGATTTCTTTCTGGTTCGAAAGTTCGGTTGTATAACGTGCTCGTTGGGCGTGACGTCGTAACCTTCGCGACACTACGGAGTACCAGCATACAGGATTGTCCCTAACGTTTGATTTTCCTGCCTTGTTTTCTCTTCCAGGTAACGGCTGCTTCCTAACGGTTCTCCTTTATTTCTCGATCAAGGAAGTCTGTATTCACATTACAAAAGAAGAATAGCACCAGTAACTGCATAGTACAAGCGGATACCTATAGAGCCACTAACTCAATACAGTAAGATAGGGTAGAAGTGATACCGTTGAGGGCACTCGGGTAGTACCGTTGCGGTGCGGTAAATTGGCACAGTTTTGTCGTTGCGCAAAAAAAACCAAAAACCCAAACAACCCCACACGAACAACAACAAAAAATAATAAAAATCTCCGAGCCTTTCCCCTCCCCACCCCCACCCCCCCCTGTCCAAAAAACAAGAGTTTGTCACAAGTGTCAAGGTGCAGTGTGCCGGCAGCTCTCCTCCGTGCGCATCGTCTACAGTGGTCAAAGAGCGGCAGCGACGGCGGCAGCGCTCGGACAGCCCCGGCGCCTTTGGGGTTCTCCTGACGGCGTAGAAACCAATTCCCAGGGATGGCTGTCAAAATATGGGATGCTTGATGCTTAATTTAATTATTTTAATTGTACCGGCTCTTTAGGCCAGCTCCCAATTAAATGAATCGTACGGGATTATTTGTGCAAAATCTTCACAAAAAAAAAAAAAAGAAAGAAAAAAATTTGCTTTCTACAGTGTACTGCACCTCATGAATAAGACGTCTACGGAATGAAGTTCATCTCTTCAAGTACTTTGTACAAAGATAACACAGACACAGTCTCAAAAGGGTCTGAGATTTGCAAGTATCCTTATAACCTCAGCACTTCTGCAATAAAGAAATTGCTCTTCACGATTCAGTCTGCCCAAAGCGATTACAATTTCAGTTCATGAAAATCATCAGCAACATCAAAGTTCTAGCATTTGCATGATAAATCAGGTGAATTAAAGTAGATTAGTAGACACAAAGCAAACTATTTCACAGAGGCTGCAGTGCAAGTTCATTTAAGCTAGACAGAAAAATCATGCTACACAAACGAATTTAATGCTTTGATAATTTTTCCCTTGCAAACCCCATGAAAGCAGCTGCGGATCACCATAAGTCACTTCCATAAATTACTCTGAAGTATCTCTTCTCAAAGGAATCTTGAAGCTGGTTAATTTTTGCCCGAAGAGCTGGCTGAGCAGGTTGTTCTGGGACTCGGCGGTGCGGTAGCTGGCCGGCCCGGTGGGCCTGGTGCCACGTGCGGGCCGGGGGCCGTGCAGCGAGCCGCGTGGGGTCTGCACCGCACCTTTGGCCAACACCTGCTGGAGGCTCTTCCCCAAAATGGCCTTCCTCCGCCGCACGTCCCCGTTGGCGTGCCGCACCTCCCCCTTCTTCTGGCCGCAAGCATCCGGCACCGTTTTCTTCAGCTGGGAGCCCGCTCTGGGCCTGGGCAGCAGCTTGTTGCAGTGGGTGTCCCTCCGCCCAGGGGACAAGGCTGGGCCTTCGCCGTTGCTCCAGTCATTGCGTTTGAGCTCACCAGAGCCCTCGCTCCTGGACAGACCCGGTGTCCTCATTTTCTTCTTTTTGCCATCCCCCTCCATGTTCTCCCGGGAGCCGGCGCTGCCCCGGTGGCTGAGAGATTTGTGCTCTTTCCGCCTCTTGGGGTGAAGCTTGGCTGTGTTGTTGGCTGCCTCTCCCCGGGCTTGGTGGCCCGTGGACCTGCTGGGGTTGCCACCGTGGTCCTTGGGGCTCGTGCTGCTGTCCTTAGTGCTGGCCTCGGGCACGGGTTTGTCCTTCACCACACCACCTTGCTGGCCCTCCTCAGGAGCAGCCTCCTCACCCGCGGTCTTCTTCTGCGGGGCCGAATCTTTGGCAGCTCTGTTCAGTGCAGGTGACGCCGTCTTGTCCTTCAGGGGCAGGGGGTGATGAGCAGACCCTGGAGAAGTGGCTTTGGATGCTCCTTCCCAAGTGGAGACCTCACTGGGGTTGCCCCACAGCGTCCTGTGGGCCTCCTTAGTTGGCAGAGCCTCTGCCCGTGGGGAAGGAAGTTCTGAGACCTTCTTGGCAAGCTGGAGAAACGGGATCCCATCCATGGCATCCGTGGCTGCATCAGGATTTTCCAAAAGTCCTGCTATGTATTCGTCTTTGTTGCCTATGCTTGTTCGTTTAGGAGTATCGGTATAGCCACATTTCTCGGTGAGGTGTGGAGGAGACAGCTTTTGGTCTGTGGCTTGGTCGCAAGCTAACCCAGCAAGGTCAATGCCAAACTCAGGTGAGTCCAAGAAAGGAAGTGGTTTCCCATCAAACGCTCCTTTCTCCAGCTCCTCAATGGACAGGGCAGCAATATGACTGAGCTCTGGGCCACTTGTCGCAGCCTGTGGCAAAGATGGGGAGAGGCAGGGGGGTGGAGGCAGGGTGTCAAACTGAGATTTCTCCATCTCTGCCAGCAGGTCAGAGAAGTCACCCACCAGCTCTTCTGTTTTCACCGAGGTCTGGGGCAGAGGCACCGCTGGGTCCCTGGAGGCTGTAGAGAAGGAGGAAGGAGGAGGTTGCAAGTTGGGGCCAGCTGGAGACTCCACCAACTGCAGCTCACCGGTGTGGTTGAGATGAGCAGGTGAGCTGCTGTGGTGAGCAACCTTCCTCCTCTTGCTCGGTGGCACAGCCTCCCGAAGAGAGCTATCCTCCCTGCCCTTCTCTCTGCGCTCTCTGGAGGCACTGCTGGGCCTCATGACCCCTCTGAATTTAAAAGTCTTGTTGCTTCCCACTAGGTGCTTCTCCATGTGCCGGTCGTACTGCTCCTTCTTAGAGAAGGTGTAGTTGCACATGCTGCATATGAACGACTTCTTGATAACATGCATGACGTCTGCACAGAGCTCGCAGGCATACAGCGTGGTGTGCTTGATCTCCTGCTCCTCCACAATCCCGTGCTCCTGGCTGAGGTGGTTTCGAAGCTCTTTGGTCTCCTGGTAGAACATGGGGCACTTGTGGCACAAGTAAATCTTCTGCAAACTGTGCACCACCAAGTGCCGCTGGAGTTTGAAGGGTTTGGGAAACTGCTTGCCACAGTGATGGCAGTCCCTGGAAGGATCCTTGCAGTCTGGGTGCATGGGGACAGATTTTGGAGTGCCTTCACTTTTTGATGTACGCTCTGGAGAAGGGCTGGCAGATGCTTTGGAGGAGCTGAGTGCAGCTGGCTTCACTTTGATGCTGCTTTCTAAGGGCTCTTTCATCGCCTTGGCTTCCTGCTCAAGAGGTAGCTCCCTGGGGCTCCTGCTCTCTCTGCTCACTGCATGCTTGCAGCTGGAGTCAGCATGCCGGGATGACCTGCTGGGTTTCCGACACATGATGGTGTTGAGGAAATGGGTGACAGCATCATTGTCCTCACTGAAGCAAGACGGTAGGCCCATCACGGACTTCTGCGCTTGCCCTTTGCGAGCAAACTGTGTGGCATGCTCCCGAAGATGCTCATTGTACATCCAGACATCGGAAATCTCCTTCAGGCACATCCCACAAGCCCACAGGCCTGCTTTGTTCTTGGCATGCTTCTCCTTCAGGTGGTCCCTCAGCTGTTCCCGGGAGCTGAACTTGCGCTGGACGCACATGTAGCAGGTGGGTGGTGGGGATGGGTTGTGGGTTAGCTTGTGGAAGTCCAGCTCTCCTAGTGTCAGGAACCACTGGAAGCAGACCTTGCATTTGTACTGCTTGTCTTTGGTCTTGATGGTGATGTCACCACGGTTTTTGCTCAGCTTCCCATCTTCCAGCTTACTCCTGCTATGCTTGCTGTGCTGGCCTGGCTTCGGCTTGAAACTCACGGCGCTGCTGTCCCCAGAAGGATCTTCACAAGGGCCGAAGAAACACACATCTCTCATTTTAAACTTTGCATTCAGCCTCTCTATGTCAATTGTGTGGAATTCAGGAGAGCCTGAATCTTCGGTCACCCTGCCATCGTAGGGTTCCTCCACTAGGTTGGGCGGTTTGGAGCTCATTTCTCCAAATGAGTGCTCGCTCTCGAGGCCCACTGGGGCCTCAAACATTTCAGCAGACAGGCTTTCGTCCTCTTTCTCTAGACTGCCCCAGATGTTCATGCTGCGGACATTGTCTATTTGGCTGTTTTCGCACAAGAAGGTTAGCATGTTGTCCTCCAAGTCAATGACCTCCTTCTCTTGGTTGATCTTCTCACCGTCTGACCTCAACACAACACTTTTAGATCCACTAGGAGCATCTTCTCCACTCTTTGCCTTGTTGCCGTGACACATGTTGAGCGTTAAGGCATCGTCAATGGAGATGGTCTCATATTCACAAGGGTCCTCCCTGGTGACGCAGAAGGAGCTGGTGTTGCTGAGGTTAGACGCTACTTGAATGGTGAAGAGGTCGATGGCACCTGCTGGCTGGAGGTTTGCCTCGCTGGCGGGGTTGGGTTTCTTGCTGCGCTTCCCATAGACCCGTGTGCATTTCCTCCGGATGAACTGGTCATCCCTGGGGAACAGCTGGGAGAACGTGGAGTCTTCATCCAGTGAGTGCTCCCTGCTCGGTGGAAGCTCTGCCTTTGCCCAGTGCTTTGGCTCTGCAGATGTGGGGCTGGCTGCCGGCATGGGCTGCAGGGCACTGTGCCTGGGGGACATCTGGGAGCCTTCCAGATCATACGTCTCCAGCAGTGGGACCCCATGAGAAGGAGATGGAGGACTCTGTGGAGCATTGCTCCAGTTCCTGTTGCCGCTGCCTCCCAAACCGTCTCGTGTCTCAGTGTCCATCTTTTCCCTGCTGTTGGCACTGGGATGCTGCTCTTTGCCTACCTTGCCCAATCCCTCCCCGACTTGCTTTGCCAACCCACTAACCCACATTTTGCAAGCCTGCGTGCTACTTTCTACTTGACCTGGATCTTCCATCTCTTCAGGACAGGCAGCTGTGCCTGTTGTTGGCTCCCTGCTGGCCATCTCCTTTGAAGACACTGTTCCATCACCTGGGTCCTCTGCGAGCTCAGCTGCACATGGAGATTGTTTTGTGTTCTGAGGGTGCTGGGATGAGTTGGGCCTGTTTTGTTCCTCTGTAGAGATGCAACCACCAGGCTCATGCAAGCCCTCCATGACACTGGGCAGGCTGGAACTGAGGAGAGCAGGGGGAGGATCTGAATTCTCCTCCAGCTCACATAGACCATCAGGCTTGTGTCTGCTGGCAAATGCCTTTGCTTTCCTTCGTCTCACTTTCCTGTTCAGCTTCTTCTCTGAATTGCTGTTTATCCCTTCGAGATCTTTGCTTTGGCTCCTTCTGCCCTTTTCCCCCTTCCTGCCCTGCCTGCCCGGGTCCAGCTTTTCAGCTGACACCTCCCCTGCTGCCCTTGCCTCCACGCACTGCCCCTTTGCCTCCATCTCCTGGTGCAGAAAGCGTGTGTGGTGCAGCTCCTGGGACATCTCCAATGATCTCACACTGAGGTCGCTCAGCACTCCGCTGACCACCTCCTCCATCTGTGCGCCAGGCTCTTTCTCCAGTCCAGTGCATATTTTCTTGGGGACATGCTCAACCACTTCAATTGGTGTCTGGGAGTTGCAGGTTTTCTCTTTGACCATCTTCAGGCTCTTCCTGGGGACTTTCTGGGCTGCTGCTTTTGATGTCCGGTCTGCAGAGATCAGGGGAGACCTAGGAGTTTTGCTGGCCTGCAGCACGCTGCTGTTCCTCACGTGGTGCTTGACAGCTTTGTGCCTGGTCAGGCCGGGCTTGGAGCGGAAAGAGGCTGAGCAGATGTCACAGGTGACCTGGAGCACGCCGAGGTTCTTTTCTTTATGGGGTTCATGCTGGGAAGGGTTTGGAGTACGGGGACATGTGTTGTTCTCTCCTTGGTCTGCGTTACTCAGTGAGCAACTCGCAGCTTCTCTGCCATGCTCAGCCCTGTGGCTTTTGGGATTCTCGCCTTTTAAACTCTTTTCCCCATTCTCTGTGATTTTGGAGAGATCACCGGTTTCCACTTCTGCTGTGTCTGAGCGGTGGTCACTGAGTTCGGTGGGGCCAAGATCTCCAGTCCTTTTAAGACCTCTACAAACAGCACTTGGCACCTGCAGAGCAACAAAACAACTGGACAGAGCCTCTGGGTCATTTTGGTGCTTATTGCCATCATTGGAGCAGTTCTCAAACTTTTTCTCTTGATTTAGGTTTACCTCTCTGTCTGTGATCAGCAGCAGATCTGTCATGGGCTGGGTTGGGTAGTTTGTAGTTTCTGGAGGTACAGAGTTAATGACCATATCTGGGATAGCACACACTTGGTTTTGTTTAGAGGAAGAGCCTGGCAGCACATCACCAGCGCTTTCAGGTCCTTCTTTCCCAACACCTTGAGATGGTGAGCAAGGAGCAGAGCGCGGCTCACAGGGACCCTCCATCCTCCAAGCGTTCTTCTCTTCTAAGAGTTGACTGCCAATGATAGGTGACCCTTCTCCATCAGTCCCACTGCTCTGCAAGAGCTTGGGGTGGGAAGAATTCATCAGCAAGGGCTGTCTGGCCAGAGCTTCATCTGTGTAACGACAGCTGAGGGGCTTTTTCTTGCTGTTCCCATCTCTGGGGAGCTTTGTATTTACTGTGAAGGTTTTTGGGTCCTGCGGCAAGGTAGAATGTACCTGGAGCTCACCAGAGGGACCGAGTGTGTCAGTAGGACTGTTGGGAGCACTGCCTGCTCCCATGTGCTTGCTTTGTACAGATCCTGACACCTGCACATCAGCTCCTTCGCACCACACTCCACATTCAATCCCGTTTGTCCCCAGCATCTCTGCAGTCGTGCTGCCTTGTGTTTCTTTCTCTGGCACATTATGGCTTAAATGGGATTGCTCATGCTTTGTAAATGCCAAGGTCGCTTTGTTTTTATCTGGTTCCTGCTCTTCCATGAGCTGATCAGCTTTCTTTCCTTGCCCTGGCAGCAGGGTCACTGCTGCGCTTTTGAGTGGTGAGAGGTCACTGTGCTCTGGGGAAGCTCCATCTGCACGGATATTAATGTCATTCAGCTCCGTGTGCTCATTTGCTAAGTGCTGCAGATCTGCTATGTTATTTTGCAACTCGGGGTCAGCAAATGTGGATAGTTTTGCACTGTAAGAGCCCGTTGTACTGAATGACTCCAGCTGCTCACAAGCACTGGGGAATAGTGCAGCATCTTTAGCGGGGGCAGCAATGCTCTCTGCGTTGCCCACCACGGCATCCTCTTCCCCTGGGGCAGGGTGGTATGTCTGATTTTCCCCATCATTGCTCTCCTCTTTCTGCTCTGGCTGGCCCTTGCTGGAGGCAGTGGGGTGGCCGGAAGCCAGCAGCACAGGGAAGCATGGCAGCAGCATCTCCTCCTCATTGCTCTTCACCGTCCGCGCCACGAAGAGCTGGAGCTGCTGCAACGGGTTGGCATCCTGAGGGGTCTTTGGAGAGCTATGCTTGGGTATGCTCAGCATGTCAAGCAGCCGTGCTGTGTGCTTGCTGCCTCTATCTGCAAGCCCAGGGGCCAGGAAGGCTGTAGGGCTCTTCCTCTCCTCCGCTTCTTCCAGCAATGCAGACGCACTGCTGTCCTCATTGAAATCCACAGCACTCTTCACCATTTTGGGTGCCTCAGACTTGCCAAAGGGCCTTTCTTCTGCATCTGGCACATCTTTGATGTGAGGCGAGAAGACAAGATCCGCAGCTGTGCCTGGATCTGCCTGAAAGCCTTGTTCAGGGTTATGGCTTGGAAGACTGGCATCGAACTTCTCCAATTCCGCAGTGAGTTCCCCTGTTTTCCCAGGTGTGGGGAAGCTCTCAGCATCACGTGTGTGAGCCAGGGGTGGCAGGCTGTCCTCTCCAGCTTTGGTTACTTCCTGTGTCTTGGGGAACATGGTGCTGGTGGCAGCAGTAGGGCTTTTTGCAATGGGGTCTGCAGGGTAGACAGGCACCTCATTTGTGTCAGGTGCGCATGACTCAGGAGGACTTTTGGAGGAAGACTCATTTTCCGTCTTTCTGGGGTCACTTCCCTGAGTGGCCTCAGGTCCCTGCAGCTGCTCCCCGCTCTTCATGGGACAAAATCCATCTGCAGGGGCTGGTGTACACATCTCAGCATCCAGCGAGACGAACCCCGTGGGTCTGTGCCAGGGCTCCCTGCCTCCCTCGTAGCCTCCATGTGTGACTGCTGGCTTCTCACCCCCCAGCCTTTCCCCAGTGGTCAGGAGGTTTGAGCTGCCCATGTCATCTGCCACAAAGAGCCCCCTCTGGTGGCCCATCCCTGGCTCTTCAGGTAGGGATGGAAAGGGCTCAGCCGGTCCCCGCAGGGCTGCAGCAGCGTGATGCTCACCTTTCTGCAGGGTGGTTGGCACCTCGCTGCTCAGCTTGCTGGTTTGCAGCTGACTCTCCAGCTCTGTCACTAAGCGCTTGATCTCCAGCTCATCATCTGATATGTGGTTCATGAAAGCCACGTTGTAATCTGTTATCCTGTCCGGCAGAGGCAGCTGGCTGGCGGGGATGGGTCCCTCCTCAGGGAATTTCTTGGCAAGTGGCTTGTCCACTGACAAGTCGTGGAAGGGAGCCATGTCTTCAGGCAGCATTGGAGCCACCTCCTCCATGAGGGACCAGTCCTTCTCTGGCATGAATGCTGAGTACGGCTGCTCAAAGGGCAGCGGCTTGCTGGGGTCACCTCCAGGACAGGCAAATGCTGTCACATAGCTGTCCTTGCTCGCAGGCACCGTCTCGTACAGCGGTGAATCGAACTCGGCCACTGGCAGCTCTCCAAAAATGGAAGAGGAATCGAAGCTGAGAGGGGAGGAGGCCTTAGTCTGTTGAGTCTCTGTGGTGTAAGGGGAGACGCTGGCGTGCTTCTGCTCGAAGGAACCAGCATTGATGCCCTCTTGGCATAAATACATACCCTCCATGTGCGAGGGTCCCAAGGGCGGTGGCTTTGAGAAGAGATTGGCATCGTAGTGAGCAGGAAGGCCTTTGGGATCAAAAAAAGTGTTGTCACTGCTGACGTATGGATCAGGCGCTTTGGCCAGCATCGTTCCCACAGCATTATCACTGACTGGGGCGGCCTGCACGGCATAGCCCTTCCCACTGTCACTGAGCCCGGGTGCCTCCCCAGCTGAGTAGGTGGCACTGGGGCTGGATCCATCCCCACCATGGGCCGGAGACATCAGCTCCTCTGCGTGGTATTTGAGTGCATCACCTGTGTATGGAGCAAAGTGTTGCCTCTGGATGACCACCTCTGACCCGGGTGAGCCCTGAGCCTCAAAGGCAGGCTCTCTTGCCTCACCTGTGGGGTTTGCCGCTCCTTCAGGCTCTTCTGCCTCCTCCTTATGGGACAGTCTGATGGGGCTTCTTCCCAAGGTGGCTGTGCTTGGCAGCTGCCTCTCCTGGGTCTGTGGTAGCGGCTCCTCCTCTGCATCTCCTGCAGCGGCAGCATCTGCTTTGGTACTTAGATGTGTTCTGGAGGCTGCCACCAAAGGCTTGGCTGAGCCTACCCGCCTGCTCCCTTGGGAAAAGTCCTCCTTGCTTTTCTGGCTTGTCTTTGGGCTCCTGTCCTCAGTGTGGCTGAGTACAGCTGGCGGTGTCAGTGCCAGGCTGCCTGAGCACCTTGTCCCCTTCATACCCGCCTTCTTGCTTTCTGGCTCACTGGGACCAGCCTTGGTGCAAGCACTGGTTCTGGGACTGCTGCCCATGGACAACTGGCTGCTGCGCCTGCAGGCTCTGCCAGAACTGTCCCCTTTCTTGGCCGTCTCTGGACTGGAGAGCCTGCTGTGCTCTGGTGCCTCCCTTTTCCGGCGGTTTCTTCTCCGGCTGTAACTCCAGGCTGGATCTTTCTCTTTGGTTCTCTCGCCTCTCCCAGGGCATTTCTTGCTGAAGCCATATTTGGCTCTCCCCAAAAATGCTGCTCCCCGCTTTCTCCTTCCACGGAGCTTGCTGCACGCTGCTCCTTCCTCCTCCGAGTCGGAGATGTACTCATATTCCTGGAACCGGCCCTCCTGGGTGCCCGGTGCTGGCCTCCCAGCAAGCGTGGGCAGCTTGCTGCTCTTCGTGTGCAGCTGGTGGAGCTTGTTCTTCTGCTGCACGATCTTGTGGATGAGCTCCTTGCTCCACGTCCCGCTGCGGGCCTTCCTCTTCTTCACCTCCTTCATGGAGAACCGAGGTGGCTTGGGGCTCTTGGAGGAAGCGCCCTGAGGCTCCTGGTTGAACTTCTTGGGCTGCTTTTGGCTGGAGGCTGGCCTTGAGGATGCTGGTGGAATGTTGTTCTTCCTGCCCGCCCTTGGTCTGGCTGTCTTCTCCTCCACCACTTGTTCTGTCTGCTCGGTCTCGCGGGCTGCCAGCCTTCGTGCCGGCCTCCTCTTGTGAGTGTGCTGCCTTCCCGCTCGCCTCTTTGCCCGCTCTTTGCCCCACTGGCTGTCTGCAGAGCAGTAAGCATCCTTGGGTTGGCCCGCGCCTTTCTCCTCTGTGGCCAGATGCTTCATTTTGCTCTCTGAGGCCGGACCTTCCTTTGCTCTGTGGGATGACACGCTGCCGGCAGCCTTCACTGCTGTTAGATCCTCATCGACAAAGACATCTATGAAGCTGCTGTCAATCTCCGGGTTGTCTGACTGGTAGCCCAGGCCATTGAGAGCTTCAGTGATCAGGCTGTCCAGCTTGGCGTCGTCGATGTCCAGGTCGGAGGCGGTGAGTGGCAGCGAGCTGGCATTGAAGAGACCACCCTTCAGAGCATCCTCTTTGCCTTCACTCTTGCTTTCCCCATCCAACAGAAACTCCTCACCCTTGTTCAGCGCCAACAAAGGGGTCTGGGGATCTGGAGACAATGGCACGCTGGTGGGTGGCTTGGGGGGCTCAGGGGCTCGCCGTCCCTCTTTGGCCTCAGGGTGGGATGTGCAGAACTGGCGGTGCTCCAGGAAAGAAGCCAAGTTGCTGTAGTTCTGGTCACACTGCTTGCAGGTCAGCAGCACATCCAGTTGGTCCAGGCTGGCGCTGCTGAGCGAGCCAGCCAGCAGGTGATGGGATGTGTAGGGTGGTGGTGGGGGGGTGCCCCCATCCAACTCCTCCAAGCAGCTTTTGGCCACTTCCACACCTGGTTTGTGAAAGGGGCTCTCCGGGGAGCACTTCAGGAGGTTGTCATCCTTTAGGGTGTCAGGAGGGTAGTGGAAGGGCTTGGCAGGGTCCTGAGGGTGGTAATGGAGAGAGGCTGAGCTCAGCACCTCGGAGGGGTGGAAGCTTTTGCTGCCCTCCTTTGGATGGCACGGGTGGTGGAAGAAGGGTGAAGGGGCAAGCGCTGTAGGCATCTGGCCATCGTCAAAGCTGGGATTGAGCGGGCTGCTGGACACAGGGGAGAGCGAGGAGCAGGTGCTGCCACAGGTGGGATTGGGGATGGGGGAAGGCAGCGGGGATTCACATGGGGAGGTGGCCACCAAGGCTGATGGTGGCAGGACGAGTGCTGAGCCTGATGAGCTCCTGGAGGCAGGAGGAGCAGGAGGCGGCCCTGCCTGGTTCATGCCATAGAAGAGGGCTTTGCTTCTCAAGTCGCAGCTGGGAGACCCCGGATCCTTGCCACTGTCGAAAGAAAAAGCACCCACAGAGGCAGGGTCCCCATGCTGTGCCCCAAGACTGTCTCCCGATACGAGCTTTTTGCTGTGGTACCCCGAGGGGCTGCTGAGGGGGGGACCTTTGTGGGCTTTGCCACTGCCTGGCCACTCTGGGGTGCCGAGAGGGAAAGGCAGCTTCTGGCCAGGGATTGCTCTTGGCAGCTCCATCCTGTTGGGAGTGGGAACCGCGGGAGCGAGGTGTATCTGCTGCCAGGGCATCCTGGCATTTTTCGGCCTTTGCTGCCTCTGCTCAGGGCCAGGCTGGCACTCGAAGGAGAACTGGCTTCCAACAGGGTTTGAATAAGGTGCTGAGTTCTGGTCCATGGGGGAAAACACCTTTGCGGCCCCTCCCCAGGCTTGCATGAGTCGGGGGTGGGTGGGCGCCGGGGAAGGAATGCCGGTCTCAAAAGGCACTGATCCCACGCTACCCGCGGGGGGGCTGCAATAGGCTTTGCTCTGAAAGTGCACTTGTGAGAGATTGGGTGGCATGTTCCTTCGAAGGGGGCTGCTCTGCAGCAGCAGCCGTGGGCTGGGCACACTGTCCTTGGCTGAGGCTTGCCCCTTACCGACTGGCTTTGGCACACTAGGCGAGTGTAAACTAGACGGAAAAACAGCTTGGTTTTCTTGGAAAGTGCTTGGGTTTTGGTCGATAGCACCAGAGGATGAGAGAGCACCACTGGGGTCGGTGGGATGCTCGCTCCTGCCCTTATAGCACGGCAGTGGGCTGCGGTGTGGGGTGGGCAGTGGGGCCAGCAGCGGGGGCACACCATACAGCCGTCCTGAGGGGCACGCACCCTCGAAGGGGCCAACACTTGGTGTCTCCTCCTGCCAGTCGCGGACAGACGATGAATGGAAGCTGAATGCTCCGTGAGCCGCTTGCCCAGTGGCAATGGCCACATCCAGGTATTCAGCATCGCCACGGTACGGCTCCTTCCCCGCCTCGTGCAGCAGCTGGAAGGGGAACTGATAGGGCAAAGTGCCCAGAGAGTGGCCGCCTGCTTTGCCACCCTCAGAGAAAGAGCTGGGCTTGACCCCATAGCTAGCACCTGCGAAGCTCTTCTCCGGAGAGGGCCACGCGTTGGCCCCGTTCGCCTGAAACTCAAAGTAATGTAGCTGCCCATTGGTGCCGGGGCTCTTGAGGGGCACGCCGGGAGGGGGCTGCCCTTTGGGGCCGTGGGGCGGTGAGGTATAGTTGGCAGAGGTACGGCCGGCAGCTGCCTCAGGGAAGCAGCGGCCAAAGCTCAGCTCTTCCTCCTCGGGGACGCTGGGTGTGTGGAAGCGGTAAGCGCCCGCTGCAGGAGCTCGGCCGGGGTCGGGTGCTTTCGGGGGGGTCACCTTCTGCTGGGGGTAGGCGATGCCTATGGTGGGGCTGGGGCGAGTGCTGGCAATGCTGAGGCGGTAGAGCTGGTGCTGGCCCCGTTCGCCCTTCCCTGCTCGCCGGCTGCGCTCGCGGGTTCGGCCTTTGCCTGGAGGGGACTGGGGGCCGCCCTTGATTCCGCCCCAACCGCTCTCACCCGCAAACTTGGGGTTGTTGTGGAGGGATTTGAAGTCGATCTTCCCCGCTTGCTGCGGCCGGATCACGGCTTCCCGCTGGCTGTGGGGCTCCTTGTCCTTGGTGGAGGCGAACGAGGACGTCCCCTCGGTGCCACCGAGCCCCCTGCCATCCTTCTCGCTGCAGCCTTCTAAGCCAAAGTCCTTGTCCTGCTCTTTGGGGCCAGCCTCGCTCTTCTCACTGATGTTGTACGCATGCTGGGTCTCTCCAGTCATGGTACCCAGGGAGGGGGCTACGCAGCCCCACACGCCCGTCCTGCTGCTGCCTCCTGTCTGCCCGTCATGGCACGGTGCTGTGGGGCCGGGTGCAGGGATGGGCACGGTGCACTGAGGACTGCCAGGCACCAGCAGGGTGCTGCCGCATCCTTCAACCCAGACCTGCAGGAAGGAGGAGAAACAGCATGGAGTGAGAAATGGGTGCAAGGCAGTACCCCTTCCCTTTGCACTTTGAGCAGTGAAACCCTGCAAGCACCCCCGGGCTGAAACTTTTTGTGCTTCAAAGGATGCCCGGAGCAGTTCACCTTCACAAGAGCTGCTGAGCCAGGCACTTTTTCCTCCCTTGGAAGCTATTTCTGTTCACTTCTTAGCAACATAGGCAGGAAAAGATGACCGAAGAGCTCCACCTACGGATTACCAGGGAGGGCTGACAGCAGGGCTGGGAGAGACATCCCAAAAGGGGCTCTGGATTTTGGGGTATGGCCAGACATAGAGCTGGGCAGGGCAAGCAGCAAAAGGCTTCTGCAGCCCTCAGTCCCCTTTTTGCATCACTCCCCCAAGCAACACTGCACACTGTGCCAAATACTGCTCTGCAACGTAAGGAGAAGAGGCATTCCAAAAACCAGCCTGCCTAATTAGTTCCCTAGTTACAGTACCCCTTTGGCGTCTGCAAGCAGCAATGCTGCAGGGAGCAAAGCCCCCACTACAGCCCCAAGCAGGGGAGGCGGCACTGGGGCTGCAAATAAAGCTGCAAATAAGGGTCAGGTGCAGCTCATTAGTGTTGTGCTGATTGCAGATCCCATGCATGGAATGGGAGATACCTCTGCGTTCCCCTGCAGCCCTTTCTGGGACGATGCAGGAAGGGAAAAGCAAAGCAGGAGGACATTTTTTCAGTCCCCAAAGTGAAACAAGCCCCGACCCGATGGGGCCGACCCCTGTGGCGGTGGCTCTGCCACTGGCCAAAGCCAACACAGCACAGCGGCACGTGGGGCTCCAGCGGGCAGACAATGCCCCCTTATGCTGTGCCGTGCTGCAATGGCACAGCTTGTTTACTGCTGTTTAACTTTGCAAAGGCTCCTGGCCAAGATAAAATAACCAAGGCCAGCGTGAGCTCCGTTATCACAGTCACGCTCTTTCAGCCACATAAAGGGGCTATTTTTTGGGAGGAAAGGCTCAGTTGTGCGTCCTGAAAGCTGCGGTGCTGGCATGGCGAGGGCTGGGGGCTGCTGTTGTGTTAGTGCTGAGTGCCAGGAGAAACAAACACAGTGCTGGCAGCGGGAGCTGGAAGTGGCAAAGTGGGGAAAGTGGAGCTGGTGGCACGCAGGAGCGTGCTGGAGAGCCGCGGGCGCTGGCACGGCAATGGCTGGCAGTGCTGGCAGAGCCTGAGCATGGATGGGTTGAGCTCAGCCCATAGGTGGTGCTTGGGAATAAAGGATTTGCTCCCCAAAACCCTTGCTGAATGGGACAAAGCATTCCTGCAGAAGAATTCAGGGAGCCCAACTCTGATGGCGGTGCCCCGCTGCGCCCTCTGGTTGCACAGGAGCCCGGGGAGCAGCATGGGGCAGGGATCTGGGGCTGCTCTGTCCCAGGCAGGCATTGCTGCCAGCCATGGGATATGCATAAGGAGGGCTGGTTGCTTTAATTTAAAGCAATAATCCTTTACTGCAGGATTTATGGATCGAGCATAAACATAACTGGATGGGAAACACAGAATAAAATGCAAATAAGATCCATTGCCTCTTATATCACTATGGAAGTGACTCTAAGCCTGCTCCTTTGCCTGGCTCTGCTGAGACAACATGACCAGCCTGGTCTGCACGGAAGAGTGCCACACAGGGTAGGTGGCACATGGCAGAGAGCAGTGCTCCATCATGGGAGCATCCATCCTACCAGCCCTGTAGCTCTGTCCCTGCACACGTCCATGCCTATGTCATCCCCAGTCCTGGCAGCTTCTCCTCTCCTAGAGGGAAAGCTGTGAATCCCAGCAGTGGGATGCAGGGTGGGGATAGAGGTGGCCACCACGTCCCCACTGCAGCAAGGCAGCTTCTGGGAAACGTTAAAAAAGGAAAAAAAAGAAAAGAAAAGAAAAGAAAAGAAAAGAAAAGAAAAGAAAAGAAAAGAAAAGAAAAGAAAAGACCCCAAACTGACCAAAAAAACCCTACAGCTGCTAAAACAAAGCAGACAAAGAGGGAAAAAACCCCTCTGCAGAACCCCTCTGCTCCTGCCCCATGCAGGGTCAGGGATGGGGAGGAGGATCTCCAGCCCTGTGTGGGAGTGGAGGACGCAGCTCTCGGGGCCTCGCAGCCCCAGGTTCGGCGTCTCCCTCGCCTGACCTTGGGTGAGACATTTAATCGTGGTGACTCAGCTCTCCATCTGTAAATCAGCCCCGATAAGGCTTCCCCTCGCCTATCTGCCTCGTGTATCAGCTCCTTAGATTAGCGAGGCAGGGACTGTTCTTACGAGCTGTGCGTGCGGTGCCCCGGTGTCACGAAGCCCTGATAGGGCTGGGTGGTGTGTGGGGTCAGTGCTTGGGGTGGGGGTCTTCTGAGGGTGAGAGTCCCGTTTGGATGTCAGCACTGAGTGCTGTTATCCGGCTGGGTACCGTGGCCCTCGGAGGCACTGTGGTTTCTCCAAATGCAGCTTTGAGCAGACCGGGATGAGTGTGGGAGTGGATGGAAAAAATAAACACAAATCCCAGCTGGGCCATACCTTTAGGGAGGCACACAAAGAGCCTATGCCAGCTGGCAGTGGGGCTGTGCTGACCCCTAAAAGCCCCCCATATACCCTCCCTCCCCCCAGATCTGCTGATTTCTGCCACCAAACTCTGAAGATGCTTTGATTTCTGTCTGCCTTGCATGGATGGAGAGAGGCATTTAAAGGATTTCCATCCCATCCGGGCAGGTCAAGCAGCTGCCTCTGATGGTGAGGTTTTGGCCGAGGCTGTGAAAAATCCCTCCCTCTCGTGAACTGGCCCCTTCTCAAAGCAGGGACTGTTTCAGCTTTCTGTCTCTTGTGGCCAGGAAAGCAGCTGGGGAGGTTGGAGTGATGGGGGCTGAGCCTCGGCATCCCCACACTGAGGGGCTTTGGGGGGGGTTGTGGCATGCCCTGAGCCCGCTGGGATGAGGAGCAAAGCCTAGCTCACAAAAATAGCATCAGAGCACGCCGTCAGCTGGCCGGTACCTTGGCACCCCTCCGCCACGCCGCTACTGCCGGGACTCACTTCCACCTCCCATGAAATATGAATTTCTTGGCTGCAAGGGAAAGAGAGAACTATGTCAGGAATCTGTGTTTGGCTTGGCTGCGGCACAGTGGCTCCCAGCGCCTGGGCTGGGCTCTGGCATGTGGCTGAGAGAAGGAGGGGTTCCCAAAACGCACCGCCACAGCCATGCCAGGATGGGTGCCCCCAGGGAAGGGAAACTGAGGCAGGGATGGAGATGAGGGCTGTATCTCATGTTCTGAATCCCACTCCATCCCCTGTATCTCGTACCCATCCCTGACATCCCATCCCTAACCCCTGCATCCCACCCATCCCCTGCATTCCATTCATCTCTTGCATCCCATCCATCTCCTGCATCTCATCCCCATTCCCAGCCCCATCCCCTATGTTTTATCCCCACGCCCTGTATCCCAGCTCTATCTGCCTCTTCACAGCTCGTCCACCTGCATCCCAGCCTGCTGGGGTCCTTGCCTGCATTCCCACCTGGAAACAGAGGGAAAAGAGCACTTCTGAGAAGCTCAAGGTATTTTCAGGGCATGTTATTATCTCCCTGCCAGCTCCTGATTCAGCCCAGAGCTCAGGAGCTCTGCAGTGCTGAGCAATGCTTGCTGCTCTCCTGGAGCACGTGTGCTGCTTGGTCAGATCCCAAAACAGCTCATCCCTCTGATGTTAACCCATAAAATAAAGAGAAAAGCAGAATGGGGGCTAGCTCCTGTCCATGCATGGCACATCAAGAGGAACACGATGGGTCCTTCAGCCCCAGGGAGGGGGATGGGGACAAAGGCTGGGACTGAAGGAGAAAGTTCAGTGATGGACACGGATTTGTTCTGAGGAAGGCCGGGGCATCCCTTGGGGAGGAGCCATAGGATGGAAGCCCTGCTGGTGTGTGCACACACACGGGTGGTTTGGTCTGGCTCTGTCCGGGTGAGGAGCACCGCGAGACACCGCTTCCAGCAGATGTTGCTGGCCAGAGGACGAGTTGGAAGGCTATTCAGAAAGTTTGCTTCTTGCTCACAATGGTCCAAAACTGATTTTCTGGATCCGAACAGCTTTGGGTTTCCAAGCTGGTGAGCGTCCAGCTTTCAGTCTGGATCCAGACTTTGCAGAGAGTCCAAATCCTTCCTCGGCTTCTAATGCAAGCTGGTTCCAGACAAGCAGCAGGCACATCCTGAGCTGCTCTCTGGGTACCCCTCAGGGTGCTGCATGCCAATGGCTGGGCACAGCGCCCACGCTCCTCCCAAATATCCACACTGCCCTATCTGGAAGTGCTGGGAAATGCCCCATGGGGCTTTTTGGGAGCATCCAGGGTGGTGGAAAGAGATGCCATGGGAAGCAGCTGGAGGTCACCCCTGCCTGCTGTCAGTGTAAGAAGAGCCAGGTGAATCGAGGACACCCAGCAAAACAAATCCCATAGATCCCAGTGCCCAGTGCACACCTCTGCAGGTGCTCACACTGACTCCATCCCAAGGCTCTTTCCCAAAGGCGATGGTAAACACATGACTTGGCTCTGGTATGGGCAAGCAGAGCACTCCAGGTGTCCGTTTCCTAAAAAATCCCATAGATGAGGCACCTGAGCACCTCTCTTGCTCCAATCCTGAGCCTCCAGGACCGTGTGGGTTTAATCTCCTTCGGGGATCGGCAGCGGAGCCGGGGCTGACAGCAGCATCTTTGTGGGTCTGTCAGGAAGAATGACTTATTTTGACGTTTATTTAAGAAATATTAATCTTTCATTTTCCTTCTAAATGCTCCTGTTTGCTGAGGAACTATCTGTTACCTAAGTGCTCCGATAAATCTTCCAAGGTAAAATTACATGTTAGATGCTGCCAGAAGGGTACATTTAAGAATGCTGCCCAAATTATCAACTGCATTAATCTTAATTACTTTGGTAAAAGTAGAGTCTGGCATTAGGGAGAGCTAAATTGAACGGGTGTTTGTTTGTCTTTATCATATCACATATTTGAGATCATTTAACAGGACGCAGATAAAAGGTGCAGGGCAGCGTGGGGCAGAGTGACAAGGAGCAGGAGGGGACCAAGGAGCCCAGGACAAAGAAATATTTAACAGAAATTAATGCTGTTTTGAGTGAAAAAGGAAGATGAGGATAGAAGCAAGTCAGAGCCCCACTGAATGCATGCTGCAGGGAAGCACCGCTGCTTAAATCCCTCTTATTTGGATGAATGGGATCAGGCACTCGCTCAGAGGTGAGCGCATTGTGAAGTATTTCAAGGCATAGAGATGAAATAAAGCACAAGGATTAAGTGCTCTCATTAACCGGGGCCTTGGAGAGGTATTGGGTATCTCTGCATCTCCCCAGGTCTGCGTGACCTGGGTATGTTCACCATCACACAGCGAGCTTGGATAAGTCAAAAGGGGATGGGGAGGATCCATCCCCATCCCCATCCCCATCCCCATCCCCATCCCCATCCCCATCCCCATCCCCATCCCCATCCCCATCCATCTTTTCCTTCCCCCTTATTTTTAACTTAAAAAACCTCACACCCCTGTGCAAATGATGATGAGTGCACAGATGCGTGAGGGGAGGTGATGGAAGCAGGTGAGAGACACACCTGTGGAGGTGCTGATGGGTACCAGGTGTGGGTTTGCAGTCCCTGGGTGCCCCCAGACTCTGCTTCCCTGACATAGGGCCCTGCTCTGAGACAAAAAAAAAAAAAAAAAAAAGGAAAAAAAGGCAATGACACCATTCCCAGCTCAATATTATGTTTCCTTCCTCCCAGCAGAGCCTGGGTCTGCTCCAAGCTGCCTTCCCCTCTACTCCTGGTCAAACAGGGACAGGAAACCTGAGAGCAGATGAGAACATCGCCATTATTTTCACCCAAGCCTCAGTTATCTCGTTGTCCTTCTGGCATCCCTTCCATCCCCTCTGCTCTGCAGCACATCTGTGCTGGGTGTCACCATCTCACCCTGCGTCCCCTGCATGAGCATCCGCCATGCCCTGGCTCCTCTATGATGCCACCAAGGTCCCCTTCTGTGCCCATATGGGTCCATTTCTCACCCATGCACACGTTCCCTGAGCAAGGTGCTTGGCTCATTTCATGGCTATGAGCAGGTCCAATCCTCCCCATATGGATGCTGATGGCCTGGGCAGGATGTTGGGTGACACTGGGAGACATTAGGTGACATTGGGTGACACTGAGTGGCAGTGACCACATCAACCAAGTCTCCTCCAGCAGATCGAGACCGCTGTGTCCAACCCGACCTCGTTACTTTGGGATCTGATAGGAGGACACTGCCAGATTTGGGGGCTTTTAAGCTGTCAACTTTTCCTATCATTATTAGCAATGTCTTAAATTAGCTCTCTCCTCTGAAATTTGCTTCTGAAAGACAAGATTAATGAGCATTTCCTTTGGGGATTTATTGCACTGTTAATTATTCTCTCCCAGAAATTTGGTTTCGAATATTATCAGCCCCCTTTTTTTTCCTTTTCTTTTTTTTTCTTTTTTTCAATTAAAAGTGATTAAAATTTGCTCTCTATAAAAGAAAAGTAGTTTTTTTTTAATATATATTTTTTTAAACTATCCCTTTCCTGATTAAGAATAATAGCCGAGAGAGGGAGATAACGGTGGCTGCAGCGGGACACCGCCGCCCCTTCGCCGCAATGATGGGTGCGGGACCCGCAAACGCGCTGCAGTGCGCGGCCGGACCCGCAGAGGGAGGCAGAGGGAAGCGGAGGGATGCGCGGAAAGCAGAGGTGTCCGGAACCTCTGGGTGGTTCTGGTGCATTTCGGTGCCATTTCAGCGCAATTTCGGCGCAATTTTAGTGCTATTTCAGTGCCATTTTGGAGCGTTTTGGCGCAATTTCGGTGCAATTTTGGTGCCACTTTGGTGCAATTTCAGTGCATTTTAGTGCCATTTCAGTGCAATTTTGCTACTATTTTGGTGCCATTTCAGTGTATTTCGGTGTCATTTCGTTGCAATTTTGGTACCATTTTGGTGCAATTTCATACAATTTTGGTGTATTCCAATCTCATTTCAGTGCAATTTTGATGCCACTTTGGTACAGTTTCAGTGCCATCTTGGTGCTGTTCTGATGAAATTCAGTGCAATTTCAGTGTAATTCAATTCTGTTCCAACGCATTTCAGTGCCATTTTGGTGCCATTTCCATGCACCAACCCCTCTAAGAGATGCTCCATGGGATATCAATGCTGTTGGCTGTGGAGATGGCAACTCCAAAGCAGCACCTTCATGAATTTCACCCGTTTTGCTGCAGCCAGAAGTGGCTGAGAGCTGCAGCAGGCGCAGGGCTCACACACTGCGTGCACACCCCAGCAGACATTCCTCGTGTGTCTCCCAAACGCAAAACATTCTGAAAATGCTCTGAACACAAATGCTTGCTTAGTGGGGGACGGATCCGGTTACACCCAGGACACAGGGGGAGTGGTGCTGGAAAACACCCTGCAGCCGAAACAGAGCCCCAGACATCGTCCACGGCAAGGCTGGCTTTAACCCCACGCTATCCATGTGTAGAAGCCCTGCTGGTTTTTTTGGCTGGTAGAAAGCAAAACAGGATGCTGAGCTAAATGCAAGGGCTGGGGACAGACCCAGGTATGCATCTCACCATACCCATGCTCACAAAGTGTTGGACCTGCAGCTGTATGTGGGCACCAAGACAAAACCCATCTACATCCCCATTCATCCCCATCTCCACGCCGACTCCATCCCTGCTGATGGAGAAAACCCATCCTGGATTCCTCTGAGCTGTTGCTCAAAGAGCAGCTTCCCACCCCCTTCAGCACGTTGCATGGAATTCTGGCAGGATTTCCTTCCCTCTTGCATTTGGGGTTCTGCAGCAAACAGCAAAACAAGCACCAAAGGATGGAGCCTGGACTAAGAACTGAGGGAGACGTGCTGACATTGAGTTCTGCAGCTTGGCACTGAGATGACAGTGCCAATGGCACGAGCTGCCAGCTCTCTGCTGGGCTCACAGTGCACTGTGATGTGACCTTTGCTGTGCTGAGCCTCCAGCCTGCCTTGAAGCATTGATGCCATGTAAGCACTGCATTTTGGGGCAGCACCCCCAAAGTCCCCAGTGAATTGTGACAGCTGCCAAAACTGAGAGCTGCCCTCTGTTCTCCCAAGGAGCAAAAAGGTGTGGAGCTCAGAAAATCCATGCGGAGCTGTAAAAAAGGCTGAAGAACAGAGGCACATTCATGGCACGCCTCAATTGGCTGCCTGGTGTGGGTGATGGGAGCAGCTGCATGCAGGATGTGGGATGTGATGGCTTATCCTGCCCCAAGCTTTGGAGGCTGGCATCAGAGCCCCGAGGGATGCTTGCAGGGATGGGGCAGATGTGCTCTGCAAAGGT